AAACACTTGCATATTGCATTGAAGGTTTAGAGTTTACGAAAGATAATTATATCAACTAATAAAAAATTTAAATATAATTTCGAATAACAATGTAAAAATTTCGTTTTCATTGTAAACAATTATTATCGTATCTTACTTATTTGCAGATTTGCATCGCTACTATTTATTTAATTATTTAAATAAACATAAATCAACGCAAAATATTTATTTTTGTTACAAATAAAATTTATTTAGATTAACATATCCGATAAAGAATTTTATCGAGTAAAATCTCGTAACACTTTGATTAAGTAACTTCTTAAGCAATCAACAGTTATCAATGAAATCTTAAAATAATTTATATCTATGCAAAAAAAATAATAATAATAATCTTGCTGAGCTTTCACATTTGTATTTCGGATCATTTGTGCGTTTTTCGTGTCGAGAGCTCATGCTTTCTTTCTACATACAATAGTGATAAATAAGTATACAGTACGTAGACATCCGCAGAGGGGACTAACGGGACACTTGCCTCCCTAGAGCGAGAAAATATTCCACAAATTATAATGGCAAAAGTGGTTGAGATATGTAACTTTACACTCTCGACCAGGGGACGTTTTGTTTGTCTTTTTGTATTGATGCAATACTGTATGCTAACACTGTATTCTACTTGTAAAAAACCCCCAAAATTAAATAAAAATTTATTAATTTAATTATTTCTCTTCAAGCTTTGCCTCCCACTAGAAAATTTTCTGCGGACGCCCATGAATAAGTATATATTTTTATGACACATATATTACTTGCATTTTATTAAAGATTTTTATCATTTTCTATAGAAACAATGTGGAAAAAACTAATTATGTGAGTATAATCGTGCTTAAATATCTGAATAAGTTTTGAATTCCTTTTTCTATATTTAATGAAATTTAGTAGAAGGGGGTCAATAATCAGACATTCTGACAGAATGTTAGTAATTTATTCAAAGTTTTTGAGTCTTTGCCAAGAGTTTGATTCTTTTCGAAACGGTTAAAAATATACTATGTTGCAAAAAAATCGACTCACCTCAAAGCCAACGTGTAATAGTAATCAAATTCTGCACGTAGAATGACAGTAAAAATAGTAAAAAATGTTATTACAATATCACAGCAAAAGTCTGCATTATTGAAAGACAATTTCATTTAAAAATTTATATTGCAAATCAAAAAATGGCAAATGCATTTTGTCAATTAATGCAAACTGACCAACGTTGGAGATGGTTTTACAACTTATTAATATGCAACATTTTGCATTATCACTTGCAACATATGATGAAATTGTTCTTTAATGATGTGTCCTGTTCTAAGATATTGAAATAGTTTTTATTTTTTACAGTCATTCCAAGTGCAGAATTTTATTACTATTGCACGTGTCGGCTTTAAGGTACTTTTTTTCAATATTTTTAAAACAGAATTTATTTTTATACGAAAAACAATAAAAAATTTTCAATAAAATTAAATTTATGTTAATATATAAAAATATTTTATTTTCTTTTGTCTTTAAATGCCTTTTGTTTGTAAATTCGATCTATTATATTTAAGTAGATGAATTTACCTGCCTTTTCTTACCGCATCATTCTTTATCAAAAATTTTATAATAAATGTTTCATTTAAATATCAATAGAATTTAGTGTTGCATTTATCATCAACCGATTCATACATTTTATTGATTTATAAATTAAGTAAATTGATTCCACGTCAGTTATAACTACAATGAATTAGTTAATTCGGATATGTTTCAGAATTAATGAAAATTTATGGATGATTTTTTAAAATTAAGTTGATAACCAGTTATTAAGTTCAATATTATTAAAGGGAGTTAACGAACAAACAATAAATAAATGTTAAATTAAAATTTTATATTAATTTTAATTAAATATAGGATATAAAATGTGTTTTTCATGAAGGAAAATTAAATTACTTTTTACTTCAAATAAGATATTTGAAGTAAAAAGAAATTAATTTGATAGAAACATTATATATTAAGCTTTCTTTTAATAGAAATGTTATTATTAGTGTATTAATTTTTACTAATATAATTTCTATTGTTTTATGTTAGTAACTTACATAATTTTCTGTAATTTTTAGTTTGTTTTGGCATAAAAATACAAACATTAATGCCGAAAACATTTAATTGCAGTTCGCAAGTTATTATTAAGAAAAGTTCACACCTTTACAAATGAATTATTGTTCATATACATATTTACAGTAATATAGTTATTTACAGGAATGTAAATATATTTAATACTTTCTGAAGTATCATTCATTGACACCGTGCTCTTGGCAATTGAACGGCACTGAAGTTTGTTGTAAACAGAAATCATCGGTGATTTAAGAGAACAGTGTCGATGCTGAGCGATAAAAAATTGTCTGCGACAAACAAGTTATTTTGGTATCCAAACTTAAAAAAAAAAAATTTGCTTTCTTTGAAAGGTTTGTTTACTTTGGAAATTCTACGTTTTATTTGAATTTTTCAATTTTATTTAAAAAAATCTAAAAGTAAAAAATTCAAAACATTGTTATGCAGATAGTTCTAAAATATTGAATTAGCTAATTATCCGAATTGCTTATGCATAGTAATTTATACAGTTATAATATAATCGTATGATTCAATTTGTGATAATTAAAATATGTAAATAGCAGGAATATATTAATATAATGCGCTTAAACTAATTGTATGAAAATCTTATTCTAACCTTGTTATTTAGATAAATAGTTTTAGAATTAATTTTATTTCATAGTACAGAAATTGTTATAACCTATATTTTTGAACTCGATTCTATATTTTCTAAATTTGACATATTTTACGTAAAATACAAAATACGTTTCTTTAATCTTAGAATTATATGTTGCTCATTCGAAGATAGGAGAGTAAAATAAGCTTCTATGATCTCTTTAAAGATGTGGATTTTTGAAATATTTTTCTGTTCAGAAGAATTCCCGACATCAGATTACCTGAATAGTCCTATTTCGTGTTCTTTTTTCCTGCAACAAGACTACATTAATACAATAGACGAAGATGGATTGCGGGGAAACGCCAAGCATTATGGGACAATTCCGTACTCCAGTAGCCATAGCAACGAGAAAGGTCAGGATCGAATCCTATGCTCCACACGTTCAATTACTGGAACGTAGATGTACAAAACCTCGCAGTCTCGTGCTGGAAATAGCTTGCATAGTTTACTTTTATAGTTAAAAAAACACGTATTTAAAATCTAAAAAATTTAATAATTAATTTAATATTATATATTTATAAATTAAAAAAAAAGTTCGGTATGTCGCTATCGATCTTCTTCAATGACGTCAAACTTGGTGTGTTAGGTCAGAAGCTTGTTTGCTATAACCTGTCGATGTTCTCCTTAAACCTGACTATAAATCATGTACGAGACTGCAGAAGTAGGAGCTACTTGATTGGACAAGGAGGACTGTCGACCCTTCGATGACCTTTAGGACAACAGAGCATAGTCTCACGATCATCTGCTTTTTTTAAAAAAAAAACTGCGAATGCCAAAGTTAAAAGTATAATTTATAAATCACTACAGTTATTACTTTCTTAAATATTAAAAAACAGATCATGAAGAAACAAAGCAATCGATACATCTGATTAAAAGAAGATTACATTATGCAGTTGTCTTTTCAGACATTTAACACCAATTACATGTACGATTTTAATCAATAGATAAAATATTGACAAAAATTATTTATTTATTTTTATTGATTTAAAAACATAAAATTATTATTATTATTATTTTAAATGCATACACGTATTTTCTTAGATAATGTTTAAACTGGGCACATTTCCAATTCTTCGTGGAATGTATTGTATAGCCTAGTCTAGTTTTGATTTATTTTATTTTCATTTTAATTATCGTCGTCAAACTATAGCTTTGAGGTAAATTTATTCTTTTAATAATAAATTTCCAAAGAAATCATTTAAATATACACAAAATATATTCGATCCGTGGAAAAATTCTGTTATAAAAAACCTGTTTCATAATAAAATATAAAAGGAATGAAAGGTGCAGCTGACATTGAATGCATTCATTACAATTATAAACCCTGAGTTTTAAACACATAAAAATAGGCATGTAATAATATAAAATAACATTTTTAAATGCAATTTAATTCACATTTATTGTTTAAATTATAAAGGGAAGAGATTCACGTTAAAAAAGTAATAGGGGAATTAATTCGATTTGTTATATAATATTATCGGAAGTTAATAAAAAATTACTATCATTATTATTTTTAAAGCAAATTAATAACATATATTTAACAAAAATTAAGGGGAGAATATATACTTTTAAATATGAGAGAATATCATTCAAAATTGACAGAATCATCAATCTCGGTTTTAATTCGAGAATCTTCCGCTAGGGCAAGGTTTCAGACGGTCGATAAATGCTGTACACTGTACAGTACATTGATTGCACAAGTAGAATGAGTGTTTCTGCCAATATTCATTCATTAATTAATTGAAGAAATAATAATTTATGCACTCTTGTTCTCAAATAAATTATTTTTATTGTAATTCGAAATCTCTGAAGACTTACAGATACGATAACATCAGATTTTTACGTTACTATGGTAACCGCTTCACCGAAAGAAAGAATTACGTGTGACTAGGTGTGAGGAACTAAGGCGACATTTTAAATTAAGCATTTGATATTTTCGACATTATTTAGTCGAAATAATCCGATTAAGTGTTTTTTTTTTATCAGATGCGCATAGTTTATTTAAATAAAATATTTTCCTTTATTCGCTTTTACTTTGGATAAGAGATGACAAGTGGAGATTCAGGATTTATTCCTCATCTTTACAAGGAGAGCCACATCCAATGACATTAAAAATGATGTCACCAAAGTCATTTCTTTCTATTGGTCTTTCGATTACATCATCTATAATAAAGCACATACGATTGGTTAAGTCGTGACGTCAGATGTAAAGAAACGATTCGCTATTGGTTATATTTTGAAATATATAGGAGTCGACCACCACGCCCTCTCAGTTCAGAGCAGACGTCACGCTGCAAAGGTTATATATTTTTGCAGTCGCCATTTTGGCAAAGATAGAACCGCATCTAATTATAGAATCTCCACTGTACAGCTTGACGAAAAGGAAAATTCAAGGATAATAATGTCGAACGAAGAGGAGAAAGATATGCAATTGAAACGGCTGACGAATGGACAATGTACAGAGATCAATGTTCAGGATGAAGTCATTGTACAGAGAAAGAAAGAAAAATTTCGTGAAAGAGAAAAATGGGGTAACAAGCTGGAATTTATATTATCCTGTATGGGATTCTGCATCGGTTTGGGTAACGTTTGGAGGTTTCCTTATCTCTGCTATAAAAATGGAGGAGGTGAGAACCGGTTTTATATTCTGAAATATCACTTTTACTTTTATCTCAGATTTAATTTGAAATATTAACTTTTCTCTTCGATTCGAGGCGGAAAAATCGTCCGTAAAAATTCCTAATCAATTAAATCAATAATAATTACTCCCGGGTTTTCTAGAAAGACAAATCCTTGTCATCGATCGATATTTCTATCTTCTCGCGCAGTCTCGAAATTATCGAGATACTAAAACACAATTTCCCGAAATTTTAACTATATTTTCGGCTGTTTTCTTTAATTTTCTGAAATATCCTTTATATTTTAAATAAAATAATTTAGTTGTAATTAACATTATGCTTCTTAACGCATTTCATTTTTTTTGTGTAATGCGCCGCTGATATCACGTGACGCTTCTTTAACCAATCGCATCAACTCCGCTGTTGAGGATGACATCCTCCCTCTGCTGCATCTACTTTTATTCCCAAAACGTTGTCAAAAAACAGATCTTTTTAAAGAAAATTGAAGTATTTTTAAATCGCTAGTGCCAAACTGAAAATTCCTTGAAATCGAAATGAAATTTTAAGTTTTTTCTGCAATTATTTTTTGCGTATTTATTAATATAATCAATTGTAAATAATAACAGGTCATTAAAAACATTGTTCCTATTTACTTTTATTTTATTCGAAAATATCAGAATGCATAACATGTTTATTATAAATTAATGGATATATATATATATATATATATCCAANGTTTATGCGAATGTTAATGCGATATACCTAGTGTATTATCTAAATAAGGCGATGCCGGAAACAATAAAGAATTATTATATAAATATATTTTTCGAAATAAAATTTATATAGATAATTTTTTAATAATGTCTGCCGCATTATGAAATGTGTATTGTTTACATATATAGAATTTTAAGCTATCTAGTGAGTTCAAAAAAAAGATTGTTTTGTTGGTTGTCGGTGCAAATATTATTTTAAATAAATAGATTTAAATTAATATATTGGAATGATTTTAATAGAAATAATAATGTAAAGTATGTAAAAAAAATGATTGTGATAATGAATTGCATTTTTATTTATATTATTCAATTTAATTTTTTTCAGCAGAATATTTAATCATACAGTTAAATAATTCATATCGAATGCCAAACACGGTTAATTAATATTCAACAATTTTCCTGTTTTAATATCTAAAATATAATTTTTAATTCGAATTTTTGATCGTAAAAATGTTTATTAAAAATTAAAATTTTTTGCGATTGTAATTGAAACTACAAATCATATGAAAACAAAAAGTTGGTTTATTTTTACGCGTTTTCTTCTCTTTTTGTATATTTTTTCGAACTAATTTGAAAATAAATGCAAAAATAATTCGATATTTGTTATAAATATCCTCTATTACTTGTCGATTGGAGGAGGAGAAATTTTGCTTGTTATTAATGGCTGGAAAGATAGTAAATGTCAACTTAAAAAATTTATTCGGTTATTTGAGTATTTTATCTGAGTTTCACAAATAGAGAAGTGGAATGTTAACATCTCCGCTTTATTTATATTTGTCTTTGACATATTTCAGGAGATTTCACTTCCTCTTAAAATCGCAACTTATACGAAGGTTTCGCGCATCAAAAGTTTGGCTCTTATCCATACACTCTCTTCACATTTTATTTTCATGAAACACTAAATCCATAGTAATATTTGCTAAGCTGGAATCGAAACTGAATCCGATCTTTCGGTTGCCACTCTAATTACTGTCGTAATGAAAATGTATGTCATTTAATTATAAGTGTAAACACTTTAAAATAACTTTCCCTTATCCAAGTTTAATCAGTGGCACCTGCCTAACTTGGCAGTAAAGGATATGCGATAACTCTATTTTATTGCAAAGTCTGCGTTGTCATGACGTGTCGTTTCTAGAAATTTTCTGGGTAACACTCAATGAAAAACTTGAAACTCTTTTTATTAATTTACTGAAAAAATTTTCATTCAAAATCGTCTTTGATTCATATAAAAGTACTTAGCCCATATAAAACATCTGTGCTAACAATTTTATTTATTTAAATTCATATTCAAACATATCGCTAACAAAATTTTCCAGATGATTTTTCGTTTGTATAATATGATTGATCCAAATCGAATTGTTTTGTTTAACCGAGCCGCTTCGTTTGCAAATATAAACAAATATCGGTCATTTTTCTCTGGAAGAATATTTTGTTTATTTCTCTAAGAACTACATACAATTATGTTTACTAATTTTACAATACGTTTTGTAATTATATGAACTTACAGAGGAATTCAAAACGTTTCGAAATTTAAATAAATAAAAGAAAATTCTTACCTACGTAGTTTAGATTGCAACCAATTACAGACGGCCTTGCACTTGATCTTTGAAGTTATTTAAGTTTAAACAATCAATATAATAAATATTTCTTGAAGCTAGAGTGTTTTAATGAAAGGATATTAAGTCGAGTAACATGTCTGTCAATAAATATCTTTTATCTTTGATTTTTTTCCCTTCAAATGTTATCAAACTGTATTTATAATATAGTTTGATAACATTTAAGGTTCTTAATTTTGATTAATTTTTATTATTTTAATTTCATTTTAATTTTAAGGTTCTTAATTTCAATTTAATTAAAAGCATACAATAATTTCTAACATAATAAGCGAATTGTGGATAATTATGGAAGCTACTGGCATTAGAACTTGGCAAATGCTCTAATACTCTCTTGTTGACAATTATGAAAAAGGGTAAGTGCGTCATTACATCACAGAACGGAAAGCATTTCTCTGTTCATTTGCGTCACATCCTCCTCTTTTGTGATGGGCTGGATGTCACAGTGTCGAACGGGTCACGGGTCGGACGTTATAAGCGGAAGATGTTTACTCGATCTGACCTGTGGCGTGAGAAATCTGAAGAGGTAAATTTCAACCAAATCGGAAATATCCACACAAACTTTTTTCAAATTAAATATCATATCTATACGGAAAAGTATTATCTCATCGAAGTGAAAACACGATAAAGTCTAGATTTGTGTATTTTAATCTGAACCATTTCCCTGTTTAACGACAATCTAGATAACAAGTAATTCCAGTTCGTTAAACTTTTGTGTTAATGAAGAAATTGAGATATTCGTATCTTATTTTATTTGTTTTGCAAGTTTTTTCATCAGAAACTCATTCGAATGAAATAATCACGTAAAACATTAATTCATTATAATCATAATATGAATATAATTTATTAAAACAAGAATATGATAATATATAAGATTGTGATTATAAATAAATTATAAAAAATATCTTAAAAATAATTACATCAAATTGGATAAGCTCCAATAGTCATTTCTCATTTCTTTTAAACAAGTTTAAAAAAAAAGGAAACTTTATTTATGTAATATGAAATTTCTAGTTATTTATGATCTCTGATTATTATTATATTTTAAGTGTATTTTATTTTATTTTTATTTCCTCTTTTCATAGAATTAAAAGCTAGTCTATTTTAATTAAAATTGAAAATAAATTTTTCCTTTAAGAGTAATCAAATATTATTTCATTCAAATTGTATAAAATTGTATAACGTAATGAACAAAAATTGCCCTTGAATTCTGTATTAAACTAATATTTTCCCGTTTCCTGTCTTATCAAATTTTTATTTTTTAATTTTTAAAATTTCACTTCAGACATGTCTCAACTGATAGGAATATCCTTAATTATAATATTGATGTAATTACTATATTGACATTTTTAATTAACGTTTCAGTTAATTAAAGCAAAAACCTCTTCAAGAATTGAGCTTCTAGCCGATCTATGAATGTTCATTCTTTCAAGTCACAGAATTTTATCTAATTATAGATTTAAATGTAGGTCTGTATCTACAAATCTAAATAGTTTAGTAGCGCAAAGGTTAGAATTTTATGCTAGTTGACATTATGATGAATCTGCAAGCCGACAGGATTAAACTATGCACTTAAAACATTTGTATTAACTTACAGAAATACCTAGGCAGGTAGGACGACATATTTGATTTTATTTTTAGAATTTCTAGCAATAATTTCGCTTTAGATAGGAATCATTAAAGGAAAAAAAAGAGTTGGCACTAAATGCGTTTATATGTAGTCAGCGAATACCAGCGTAATCACATTCAAGAATTATTTATAGATTTCCACCCTCGCTTTTTACCACTCAAAATTTTCTTCCTAGTTTTATATTTGAACATTATTTCGTCAAAGTATAAATGTATAGGTTTAGTAATTTTTTTTTAAATGATGGCTACATTCTTCTCATAATTGTTAACAATAGACAACCAGGCATAGAAGGTATATAGTTCATCTTTAATGCTGTTTTATTGACGAAATTTAGGTCTAGATAATTTTTTCTCCGCAGAAAATTTGGAACAAAATCAAAACTAAAAGTTTCTGGACAAAGCAGTCATTTCATTACTTTGTACTTGTTTCAATTTGCTATCTATTTCCAACTTAGGAAATCTTATCTTATTTTTTGTGCTCTCATCTGTTTTTGAGTCAGTCAATATTAACTTAAATTAATATTAAATGTGTTCAAATTTATATTAATTTTTCATGGATATGTGTATTATATAAGCCTACTAAAGGCTTATACTTTGTTTCTTTTTTATTAACAATGTTACCCACTCAATTAATATACCAACATAAAATCGATTTATTAGAAATTATAAATACGAAAAGTGTGTAATTATTTTATTTTGGAAGGAATAGTCGAATAATTAATCTGTTAATTAGAATATTTTCAATATATTTTTTTTATTTATTAAAATAACAATTTGGAAGAGATTTATTTTTCTAGAGAGCTACAGACCTGTTGATTAGAATCGTCTAGAACGTTATACCAACGGCTTTGAATTTTGTTTATAATGCGTATTCATCGTAAAAAAATTCAGTTTGTTCAGTGTCTAAGTTTGAAGTTTTAACCTTTCTATTTCTAAGTTTGAATCTTAACCTTTCTATTCTGAAGTCTTTCCTCGTTCATATTTTTAATTACAT